CTCTCAGCCGTATCCTCAGCTGTAAAATTCTGGTCTGGGTTCACACACATACAAAGCGTTAAGAGACACAGGGAAAAGAAATTCCAAAATATCAATTTTAACATGTTTAAAGGTATTATATCTACATATCTGAGAAACTAAAATTAGATCATTTCAGTAAACCACTACTGGGAAATCACTACAGCTTACAGGGCCAAGAAAATGGATTTCCCACATTCCCTTTTTATGCAGATTTTTCCACAATTCCTGGAGGTTAGTCTACATCAGAAACAGGCCTGATTTCTGTGAATTAAAAACCAACCAATGAACCAACACTAATTAAAAAAGAAGCCCCTTGTATTCTATTTTTGGCATCTATTCTTGCAGAAGCCCCACTCAAGACCTGGGGCAGCACTGGCCAAGTGATGTACAAAAAATGAGAAACAAACACTAAGGACATAAAAATCTTTCTTTAAACCCTCATAATGCACTAATCTCTGCACACATTCATAATTGCATTTAAAAATAGTTTTCTCCTCACTCATGTCCCAGATTTAACAGTGATATATTGAGGTCTCATTAAAAAGCCTTTATTACCTTCATAGGCCACGGAACCTTCCCTATCTGGCATCAAATGCTGAAAATACTACAGATCTCAGAACCCCTCTGACCTAAGAACTAAGATTATTCCAGGGACTTCATAGGACAGGCTCTGTGCCATTCTAAAGCATTAATAACCTTGCATTTCTCCTAAGGAAATTCCAACAGCAAAAGCCTAAAATGATGGGTACCAACTGCAGCTGCTGCCTTCTTGTGCACTTGTCAAATTCACAGTCTTCTACATTAATTTAGAGATTCCCCTTTTCTCAGCACCCTGATTCCACACCTGACCCCAGCTGTCACCTCTTGGCCCTGTTATGGACAGCAGAACTCTCAGATCCCATGATGTCCCAGCCAGAGGTGCACCAGGGGGACAAAAAACCTTCCATGGGCTTAGAGAATCATATTCTCATATTCTGAGGGTTTCCAAAGCTCGAGGAATTGAAAAAGTGCAGGAAAAGTGACTTCTTCAGAGGCACACAGAGAATCGCAGAAAGCTTGAGTTGGAAGGGATCTTAAAGCTCATCCAGTGCCACCCCTGCCATGGCAGGGACACCTTCCACTGTCCCAGGCTGCTCCCAGCCCCATCCAGCCTGGCCTTGGGCACTGCCAGGGATCCAGGGGCAGCCCCAGCTGCTCTGGGCACCCTGTGCCAGGGCCTGCCCACCCTCACAGGGAACAATTCCTGATTGCCAAGATCCCATCCAGCCCTGCCCTCTGGCACTGGGAGCCATTCCCTGTGTCCTGTCCCTCCATCCCTTGTCCCCAGTCCCTCTCCAGCTCTCCTGGAGCCCCTTCAGGCCCTGCCAGGGGCTCTGAGCTCTCCCTGGAGCCTTCTCCTCTCCAGGTGAGCACCCCCAGCTCTCCCAGCCTGGCTCCAGAGCAGAGGGGCTCCAGCCCTGGAGCAGCTCCATGGCCTTTTCTGGACTGGCTCCAGCAGCTCCAGGTCCTTTTTTGAGTGTATTCCTGTGATCTCCAGTGTCAGGTGAATGCAGCTCACGTGGAACCTCGCTGTGTCAGCACATTTGCAATGGGTGCATAAATGAAGATTTCTGTGTCTATCTCAGCATTTTAATCCTGCTTCACAACAAAATTCAGACAAGGCAGGACCAGAGGGTCTGTAAGTACAGCAGCCTGATGAGGGGAGAGCCATGGGCTCAGTGCTTCCAAACAGTGCAACTCCCTGAACTCATGAAGAGGAGAAGGGAGGAACTCAGGAGGTCAGCAACATGTGGTAAATGTAATATTAAGCATAAGCATCAATTTATGCTAAGTTAATGCAGGCTAAGGACAGCTGTTTTGTAGGCTCGTGTGAGATATATTATATAAAGGCTCTTTCACAACTTCATTTCTTGCAACTCAGAAACAGAGCACTCAGCAGGGCCTGACAAGGAAAAGATACTCCTTTCCCCTTTCCAAAATAACATTACTGTCTTGGAGAAATGCTAGAAAATCCATAAACTGCAATTTTCCTTGGCTCACACGGGGCTTTGCAGCTCCAGAACTCAGAAGTGTTCTATGAAGAAAGTCAGTATCATCAACTGCACTTTCTGAAGTGGAGCAGAGGCAGAAATCCCAGGATGTATGAAGGTTACTCAGCAGGTGCAGCACAGTGGGAATTGGGGGCTGAGACAGAAAAAATGTGTCTAATACACCTAAAGTCTAAAAATACAGAGCATGAGTCGGGGGGGAATACAAAATATAGCAGTGCTTGAGGAGCTACAGGCAGCTGCCTCATTACCCAGCTCCTGGGAACTCTGTCCAGCCAGGGCTGCCTCTCCTTCAGCCTGGACCTCCCCTACAACACAGAATTGCACCAGAAATACTGAGGAAGAGATGTCTCTGGATCCCTGGAAGTGCCCAAGGCCTGGCTGGGAGGGACTTGGAGCAGTCTGGGGTAGTGGAAGGTGTCCCTGCCCGTGGCAGGAGGTGGAACTGGATGAGCTTTAAAGTCTCTTCCAACCCAAACCATTTCACAATTCTAGGGTTCCCCCCAAACAAACCAGGTCTCCAACACAGAATCACTTGCCCTTCTGCTGAACCACAAACACAAAATGAGCAGTGTTAAGAAGCAGATGAAAGTATAAATAATAAACTAAAGAAGACAAAAGAAGTTGCATCAAACAAAGGACTGAAGCTACTCAGGTGCCAAAAATGAACTGGCAATGACAGAAACATTAAAAATAAAGAGGTTCTGTCACCTTATATTTAGAGTATAGGAGGACATCAACCTCCACACATTTAGAAAGACCTTCAGTTTATTTCTTATTAAGAAAAAGCTCTGGAAACAAAGCACTTCTATAAATTAATAATAAGCCCTTTGAAAAGTATTATGGATAAAACTGGGAAGGAAGAGTAGGGACAACTTGTTCATGTAGCTGTGAATGCATAAATTGACTTTTCTTAATAAAAGCATGTACCAAGGCAAAGCTCAGGAGACAAGTGCCAGGACTCCCCCAGCTCTCCAGTGTCCCATGTCTCAGCCTTTGCTCACCTGGGAGAAGGAGAAATTCATGTGAGGTGACAAAGTCTGGCGCCTGTCAGGGCTCCAGCAGCAGCCAGGGAACCAATGGAGGGAACAACTTTTCCAACCCTGCATCCTCCATTCCCTGGGGGCTGGGGCTTCAAGCAGCAACAAAACCTAAAATCTGCATCTTCAACAACCACTAACCAAAAATGAGATGTACCGTGGCACTGTGAGACAGTCACATAGCATGGAAAGAGCAGTCTCTGGGACAGGGCTGAAGCAGAGGCTGCTAAAAATGCAAAGTGAATGAACAGAGTGAGGGAAGAAACCTCAGGCTTCAAATGGTCAGGGAAAAGGCACAATATTGAAGATATGCTGGTTAAACAGAGAACACTGTCAGTGCTGAACAAGGTCCTGCAAATATTTACATCTGAATATTGCCCCTGACTGCAGGTAAGGAAAGTGGAAACTTGATTCACTCAACACAGTAAACACAAACAAGATAGATATTTCTCCCTCCTCTTTACACTGTATTCAAGGACCCTGAGGTCAAACCAACACTGTGAGCACAAATCCAGCCACTCTAAATTCAGGTTCAGAAGCTTTACTGTCCTTCATCACATCAAGTCACTGTGCAGCAATGCCAGCTGGAATTTCCCTGTTTATCATCCTCTAAATCTCTTCTCCACTGGACCAGTCAGTTTTGGCATTGCTGGCACAGAGCTGTGCAAGAGGGCACGTTCCAAAGTGTGATTTAATTGGGCAGAGGAGCATGCAGGGTAAAATAAACACTGAACAATGTCCACGAGCACAACAGCCTCAAGCAGGTGAACATTCCCTTCACTGCAAATCAACCAGGAGAAAAAAAAACAACACTAATGAGATATGCCAGGAAACCTGTGTCACAGGTGAGGACACTGAATTACAGCCTGACAGCTCTGAGACACACCTGGAGGTCACAGACAGCAGTGAGGTGTCACACAGTGACTCCCACCAGACTCCAGAGTGTGGAAAGCTCTGAGCTGGGAGCAGGTGCTGCTGCCTGAGCAACACTGATGGGAACAGACAGTGCTTCCAACTGTGGCCAAGGTGGAGAGAAGGCAAAAACAGCCACACACGAGGAAGGAAAAAAATTACAAAGTGAAAAGTGCAAAAAATGACAGGCTGGGAGAGCTGGGGCTGTTCACCTGGAGAAGAGAAGGCTCCAGGGAGAGCTAAGAGCCCCTTGCAGGGCTTGAAGGGGCTCATAAATAGGTGTATGAGAGACTTTACACAGGCAGAGGGTGACAGGACAAGGGGGAACGGCTTCCCACTGCTGAGGGAAGGGTTAGATGAGATATTGGGAAGGAATTCTTCCCTGTGAGGGTGGTGAGGCCCTGGCACAGGGTGCCCAGAGAAACTGTGGCTTCAAAAACCCCCATGTATATTAAGGTAATCCAGTTGTCTGTGGCACACTGCCCACCTGAGTGCCTTCTCTGAGATTAAAAGAGCACCTTTGTGTGTGCTTTTCTGCAGCTCTGGTCCCCCTGATGGCACGTTTGCTCTCAGGCTGAGGTTTTATTTATGTAGACTTAGCCAGCATTTTGCTAAAATCTCATTCCTTCACAATGCTGCATGCTTCAAAGAGCACATTTGTACAAGAAGTTCCCTTCATGCTCAGAAGTCTTGCTGAAAAAGAGGTTAATGCAGACTGAAAATCGTTGTGACATTATGGACCTTTTAATTGGTTACAAGACCTGCTTTGGGGCACGTATTAATAGGGCAGAAGCATTGTGAAAGCTCCTTCCCTCCCCTTGACAAACTGCCAGAGGACAGGAAGCATTTTGGCCTTGTTCAAAGTATTGTCCAATCCATTCAAAAAGCTGAAACTTAGGGAGTATAAATGGACTAGAGGAGCAGAGTGCTCAGAATGGGAAATATGGGAAGAGAAGGTGTAGCCCAGGTGTTTCTTTACCATGGCGCTGAGCGTCTCCTCCCAGTCCGGCCTCTCCCTGGGGTGGATGCTCCTCTGCAGCTCTGGGACAAAGTCATCTTCTTCTGCGTGGACAGAGGACTTCATCATTCTGCAAAGGACAGAAGTTGGATATTCACTGACAATTCCAAGGTAATCTCACACCCAGTCTGCTACAGTGCTCAGGTATATGACAACATAAAATGATTTTACATGTCCAGAAATCCCACAGACTCCTGAGTTTCTCCCACTTCCTCATTATACAAGCAGGACAAGAGTGTAAATTTGGTGGAGATAAATCTGCACTTCCTAACCAATCAGTAGATAATTTTGTTTAATCACTGCACAATTTGCAAGTCTCACAACACAGAAAAATGCAGAGGAGTGATTTTCAGTCCACTTCAGAAAAATGGCTCCTATTGCCCAGGCAAACAACAAGAGAAACACACATTTGTAAGGAAAAATACACACTTTTGATTCCTCCTCCTTTCAGGAGGTTTTGCCTGAAATGGGAGTAACACCTTCCAAATCTTAGTCTGACTCCACATCCCAAGGCCTGATCCATCAGCTCTCATCCCTTCCTGATTCTACCTGAAGAGTGAGCACTGCAAATCAGCCTGATGTGACCAGGCCTAACTTTTCTTCATAAAAGGAGCCATCTTCCAAATACCCTGTGAAGGTTATTCCAAGCCTGCATAGAGATCAGAGGCTCAAAATGAAAACTGAGAAAGAATTCATAAAAGCTCCTCAGCCCCTCCACATGACAGCACTCTGTAGATAGGTATTTTTTTTCACTTTCTGTTTGGGTAAATGTGCCTTTGCAGAGATTACGGCATAGACTTGAAGTACCAAAGGCCTGTTCAAAGTCTGGTATCACCCATTCTAGTTTCATTAAACATGATATTCAGGCAGGCTTTTATTCCCTTAATAGATCACCACTTATGTATTTAGGATAAGCATTTTGATAATCAGCAGTGCAAAGGCATGGGCAAGAAGGGCTGGTTTCTAACCCTGCTGATTTATGCACCACTTGACTGAAACACGCCTGGTGAAAGCCAGTTAATAAAACTTCTTTGCTTCAGATCCAAGATGTGAAGTTCTGAAACCCCAACATGCTGCTTGACACTGGGCCACATAATTTAACTCTGCTTTGTTCTCTCCAAGAGGGTTATGGATGAAGTAATTAACACTGCAGTTAATGGCACGGCTGGGTTAGGAATTACAACCCATATAATTTCATCCCCACCTTTGTGATCATATTTCTGCTCCAATAAAAGAAACATCCCAGAGAAAATGAGCCTCAAAACCAAAAGTCACAATGCCCCAGGGAAATGCTGCTCACTGGGGGGTCTCTGTCATTCCCACCCCCAATATCACCTACTGTCCTCAGGAGGGAAGAAATGCATCTGCCTGGGGAAAGCTGCAGAGAGCTGAAAAAATCCACAGGAAAAAGCCATGATTTGGAATACAGAGGTGCAATGTCAGCTCAGAAAGGAGACCCTCACCTTTGCAATACATGTTTAAAGGAATTTGGGGTTGAAAGACTAAACATTTGCTGCTTCAATTTTCCTTCTCATATCAAAAGGAAGACACCTGGCCTCACAGCCCCAGCTCCACCACAGGAGAGGCTTCCTACTTAACTTGAAGCAGAGGAAACCAAGTTGTGCAACTCAGAAACAAGACATAAAAAAAAAAAACAAAAACAAAAAAAAACCCACCCAAAACAAAACAAACAAACAAACAAAAAAACCCCAAAAAAACCACAAAACCTCAACTTTTTATATCAATGTCATGATTTTGAAAAAGGCTCAATACAGTTTTCCTGAAGATTTCTACATGTTGGGGTTTAACCACATTGCACCTGAATAAAAAGATTCTAAACAAATTATCCCACAGCAAGGTCAGCCTAATTCCCTGAGGTGATGGAATGGAAGGATGGGTGATGAGATCAAGACCCACCTTCTCCAGCAGTTAAAGCAATCAAAGTGCTTCCTCATTTAAAGACTTGAAAATAATGGGACTGCATTTACATCTTTATCAGCACTTGGAAGTACAAATGGATTCACTACCCAGCTTCTCAGGGGTAGAGAGGATCTTCTGGCAGATCCTGACAGATTTCTCCTCTGAAATTGGTGGCTGCAGTGGTGAGACTGAGTGCAGAGGATGGTATATCCTATTTTAATTTTAATAATCCTGGGAATCAGACTCATGTTCAGGGTCTGTACCCTCACACTGGATCAACATGGACGTCACAGCACCCAGCTCTTTTTACCACACTCCAATCTATCTACTCACATCATTTCTTTAATCACTGTCTATAAAACTTCCATGATAAACTCTCCACAAACCCTTCCCACTGAGATCCCAAAATGTAATCCCATTATTCATCCTGTGAAGGTGTTCTGGACTTTTATGGCAAATTGGAAAAGCTCCACATGCAAAATTGAGCCTTTAAAACAGTCAATTCTTTGAGCTTTTGCCAGACTTCTACTGCTGAGGGAAATTCAAACTTGGTCACAACATCACAGAAATACTGGAAATTATACTGAAGATTTTCTCTCTGACACAATTATCAGCACCTGATAACCATCTGTGCACCCTTATTAATTTTTAATAGCCACTATTTAATTCCATGCCACCTGAGACAGAGAGCAAGGAAGGCTGAAGATGCTGTAGGTAATATTAGCCCTTTATGGGTTAAGTTTGGTGGCTTTTTTCTGCCCATCAGTGGCCTGGATGAAGGAAAATAACTTTGTGAACTTGCAGCAATGAAACAGAGAGAGGAGTAGGGACAGAAAGGGAGGAGAGTAGGAAGAAGAGCAGCTTCTGAACACACTCTCCTTTTTACAATGTTTCCTCTGGGCATGTAAAACCTCAGAGCAACAGCTGGGGAAGAAGCTTTCCTAGCAGCTGGCCTAGGGAAAACTCTGGCCTCACCCCAAGACAAGCCTGGAATATTATCTCTAGGTATAATCACATTCAAACATTTTTATATGCATGTGCATTACGTATATTTGACATTATTTTAATTTATATAATAAATAAATAGCACAACATACATATGTCTGATTCACCACACATATCAAGCTGTAACAAGAGAAATTATCTTTTTTTTTGCCATGAATTCTTTTCCACAGAAGAGGAAAATACCTCAAATCCCAGGAGCACTTACACAAAACACTGACACACGGATCTTGTAAGCACTAAAGGCCAAACCAACTAAACAGCTGCCCTATAACAGCTCCATTTGGGTATATATATTTGGGGCAGATTTCAATAAGTGAGAAGTCACTACAAAATTTAATCCTGGCCATTAGAATAGAAATAGAATTTTATTTAAAATGCCACTTCCTCAACTTCTCAGCAGCTCTGCCCTTGCAATGAAACGTGACACTGTTATATTAATAAAAGTTCTGGTGTACAGAGGCCATTAAGCAATTCCCTGCAGATGAATGAACCCTTCTCATCAAACTGAGAACCAAATGTACTGGAATAAATGTTTACAGGACATTTCACAAAAGGCCCTGCCCACTTTCACACTCACCCTTTGAAGTTCTCTGGTAGGTCAAGTTGATTAATTTAGTTAGAACTTATATATTTGTACATGACACAACTGTATCAAGAAAACATCTCATGTCCTTTTCCTCCTCAAATCCAGTTAGCTGCTCCCCTCATTTATGGTATTTCTGTGCCATATCAGGAATTAAAACCCTTGGTGCCTTATCCAAGCATCAAGTTCTGCCTGCTGACACTGAGTTGTGTCACAGACCAGGAAACACCTACAGGAGATCTGTAGGGTGATTTGTAGTAAGTGAACTTTATCTCAAGTAAATGTAAACTTCGTATTAAATAGATGAATATTCAGCTTAACATCCCTAAACTCTACAGTTACTGCTTGTTTATAATACCGTAAATTTGAAATACACCTTTCACTAGATGAGAACCTCCCCTTTGGCTTTGAGGGAGTCCCACATCCACAAATCCAACATATTTTCACATTTCTGTTTGCATAAGAGAGGAAGAATCACATAAAGAATGTTTGTGGAAACAGCTCCTCAAGTTAAACAAAACCAGAACTTTTAAAGCATTGTGGGACCCCTACCAGAGTGTCTGTTCCCATTACTCAGGTTCTTTGGCACACCCCCAGGGCCACAGCAGAGGAGAAACACAATTGTCATGGCCTTGGTGCCATGTGCCACCCCAGTTCATGGCAGGACACAGGACAGAGACAAATTCCTTCCCCAGGTGCTGATGGTGGGAGAGCCCTGCCAGAGCCAATTCTCTGCCTGCCCCACCCCAGCTGGACAGGCAATGGGTTCCTTAGATTAATGCCAAATATGACTTGGAGTTGTTCTCCTCCTTGGGGACATCAGGCACTGCAACTTCTCCTGGCTGCTCCCCCCACCAGTGCCTTTTCTTCCTGACCTCCAGCTGAGAGGTGAGAGCCATTGAGAACTGATTTATTACTTTATTTATTACTTCTATCACACTGTTGTTGTGCCAGGAGATTGCTCCCCCAATGGAAAAGCATAGCTCTGCCCTACCGAACCAAGAATTCAAGAGGATTTAAAGCTCTACAGAAAGTGATGCTTCCCAAGATATAAATTTTACCTCAAAGGCTACAATTTAATTAAGGCCTGTGCTGACACTAACCAAGACTGGAAACCAACAAGCTTCAAACACTATTTGATAAAATCTCACATTTGTTTTGTTCAAATAATTTGCACAAAAGGCAAAAATAACCCATCCTAGCCTGGGTGGAGCATCCCTGTCCTTCGAATGTAAGAAAGTAGAGTTTTAATCCCATTACTCTCAGTAACAGTTTGGAAACATAATCCAGCAGTGAATCAACACAGAAATACCTTGAAAACTCTGCTTCAGAAGGTTTAAAATGAGTCAATCAAGATGTCAAGTGCTGTGGGGGCCACCTTACAATATATGACAGCAGAATTAAATCAACTTTTCACATCTCATGAGCTGCCCATTGCCACCAGGAAAGGAAAAAAAATATTAAACAAGAACTGAGATTTGACCCAAAGTTTACAAACACTTGGGCAAGACGGTGGAATTGTGTGACAAACCCTGATATATCTTCACTTCTGACCTCAGACT